CTGAATTGCTATTGGCTTCATTGCTGAGTTTGGGCATCATTGATGAGAAGTTCTTGGATAGGCCATCCCTAGAGAGGAACAATGGGGTGATAAGGCAGAAGAAGGGATCCAATCAATGTGGTGTATTTGTATTGGCTTATATGGAGCAGGAAGTTGCTGAAGCCATGGGGTATGGGCCAGCAGCCATTGGATGGCCATGGGTTGCTGCCCAGAATTGGATCAGCAAGATGAGGAAGTTGGGTGAGCAGCTGCAAGTTGAGAGGAATAAGAGGATTAAGGATTTGAAGGATCAGGATGAGAAGGACAAGAAACATGGGGAGAAGATGAGGTTGGAGAGAGAGAAGATTGCAGCATTGGCTGGGAAGATGAAGGAAGAGCATAAGAAGTTGAATAAGATGCAGGAGGATGCTTGGAAATTGGTGAATGAGGGTGGTGCTTTGAGGGTGGATGAGCTCCCATCAGCCTATTTGAAAGCCAAAGCCAAGATTGAGTTGGATGGGATTGGGGTATGTGGCAAGTGCAGGTATTCCAGTGGGTGTATGGAATGCAATGTGTGGAAATGCACTGCCTATTGGATGAGGAAGGAGGGGAAGAGGATGGGCAGGAAGATCCCATATGAGTATACAATGGCTGCACAGATTGCTGCTGGGAAGGATGAGAAGAAGCAGGAGAAGGATGATAAGAAGGATGGATGAGAGCATCAGCTGGAAGAATGCCAAATGGCATGTGAGAAGGGTGGATCAGAATGCTATCTCTCAAGAGATGGCATGGGAAAAGAGTGGATCAGAAGATCAGTTTCACCATGAACCAAAAGATATTGAAAAAAGGAAAAATAATAAAACTAATTAAACATATATATATATATATTTGAATAATTGTATTTTTCCTGGGGGGACAGTGGGTTGACTAATAGGGGGGGTTCAGCCAAGAAAAAAATTATTAGAGGGTGGTCATTGTGGAAATTAGTAGTTCAAATTAGTTTATTATTGGGGCCTGAACCCTGGGTAGACTAATAGGGGGGGGTTGGTTAATACCATGTTGACATTACCAGGTCCCAGAGTCAAAAAACAAAAAACAGACCTGTGCCTTCCGAAGACCAGTTCAAAAAGATGGTTGAGCTGGTTCTAGTCTAAATTCCTTGGTAATGCAATTGTTGTTCGAGATTCGACCCATCAAACCTTGGGGTTCGAACCTTGGGTCTCATAGATTTTCTACCTAGACTCGCTGAGTGAGACATGTGGATGGAAAGAAGACATGTGAAGAGAACAATCCCAGACGCGACCCTGGACCCGAATCCTTCACTCACGATCCCCTTACCGTCCAAGCCGACCAGCGGACCGGCGGACCAGCGGACCGGCGGACCAGCGGACCAGCGGACCAGCGGACCGGCGGACCAGCGGACCAGCGACCGGCGAACCGGCGAACCGGCGGACCAGCGGACCAGCGGACCAGCGGACCGGCGGACCAGCGGACCGGCGGACTGGGGCGGACCGGCGGACCCGCGGACCGGCGGACCGGCGGACCAGCGGACCGGCGGACCAGCAGGCTGGCGAACCAGCTTCGGCGGACCAGCGGAGCAGCGACCAGCGGACGAGCGGACCAGCAGTGCAGGCAACGACCAGCGGATAGCGGCTAAGCGGACCAGCGGGCGCCAGCACTTGACATAGAGTCCCACCCTTCCCACCCTTGCCTGCGCCACCAACAGGCCAGCGGACCAGCGGAGATAATAATGGTGGTGGTGATGGGTGTTTTGGTTGTTGTTCTTGTTGTTTTTGCTGCTACTACTGAGTTTCAGCCCGGGACACTCAATGCGTCCTTGGTCAGGCTTCGCCTTGCTGCTTCGCCGCTTGGCATTTGGAGGCGCGGTGGGAGTTTCGTCTGGCTGTACTAATGAAGTCAATCGCTTTGCCAACAGCTTGCTGCCTGTGTCGCCCATGGCATGAGCCTTTTCACTTGGCCGCATCGTCTTCTTTCATCCTCAAGCTGCTGGCCTTGTCTCTTGATTTCTTTCATCAGCGCACGATTGCAACCGCGGTCGAAAACATGACTTGCAAACATCTACCGTGCTTCTGCTTTTGAACCAGCATGCAAGTATGCAAGTTGCCGATTGCAAGCGCGAGACCCGCAAGCCACCCTGCTATCCGCAAACATCAATCTAGCATTTTCTTCTTTTTTTCATGCAGCTGCAATGACGAATCCACAGCATCAGTGCCATGGGGTCCTTGCGCAAGCCATTTGTGACGCTGACCCGGCTGCGCAAATTTCGCCAGAACTAGTCCATCATTTGGCGACCAGATTAGAACCGCTCTTCAACTAAAGGGTGCTGTTTTCGGCCGGGAAAGCAAAGCTCAAGAATTGGTGCCGCAGCTTGTTGCTTGCCCTGGGTGTGGAGGACGACTTGCTGAATGTCGGAACTCCGCTGCTGCAGCTATCGTCGTAGATCTGTCGGGTTTGGTCCAGAAACAACGCATTCCACTGAGATGTCGGCGATCCTCCTGTCCAGACTTTGGTGTGCTGCTGTGGTACAACTATACCGTGCGGAGTGGGTGCCATCATTTTGCAGGAGAGCTACCTGAGTTGAACTGCTTCATGTTGTCCGCCACCTTCGGCTTCAGTGTCCCCTGGTTGCAACAGTTTCACGTACGCATGGTGAGGCAACATGCGTTTTTCACAAGTGAAGCAGATGTGCTCGGCGCGCAGGCAGCTTACAATTCCCAGCTCCATCTCTTACCAACAGCTCGATTGCGGCTTCTCATTAGCCAGGGGTGGTTTGCTTGGCGTCTCCTCACCCGGGTGCACCAAAGCAATTTGGACCTAGCATCTTTTGATTTCTTGCGGCCCATGGAGGACATGATTGGCTTATTCTTGCCGCAGTTGCAAAGAGAATTTGGCAGGACTACCTTGGAGGAAGCCCAAAAAGCCACGATGCGCTGTGACGTTGTTGTGCTCGATGGCAATGCAAAAAAATCGTCGAGCTGTTTGCGGAGCCTCATTGGCCGGAGAAACTTTTTCCAAGGAATTGCGCCGGGTGGTCCGCCACAACTGTGCCAATACTCCCGCTTTTCGGAGATGCTTCTGTCCCGCCCATTGCAGTCAAGATGATCAATTCCAGGCGGGGGGGCAAAGCATTTCCAACCGCAAAAATGGGTAAGGTTTTTCTTTTTCAGCCACTCTGCCTCAGGAAGTGACCATTCTTCAGCACAAGCTCATCAATGACGGACAGTGCTTGATGGTCTTGCTGAAAGAGACTGTGGAGCCTCAAAGAGAAGCTTGGGTATCCGATTCTGCAGTTCCAGCGTCTGTCCTGTCCAACTATTTGCAGCAAGTGTGCGAGGCGAAGTTGAAACCCAGCAAACGCCCACGGCGAGAAGAGGAGGCAGACGGCAGAGGCGGCTCTTCCTCATCGCTTGGACCTTCGATGCTTGCGAGTTTAACGTTGCAAGAGATTGGGCGCTCGTCCGACCCAACAGATTTGCAGTGCGTGACTTGCTGCACACACAAGGAAGGCAGCGCTGCTCAAAGGCAGCTTGCCAAATCTGCTGGAATGTTGTGCGCGTGTTTGTCTGAGGGTTTGATTTTGCACATGCAAGAAATCTACGGCTGTGAGTTGTTGAGCCAGAGATACCTATGTCTGGCGTCTGTGAAAGCCCTCCTGCCGTCCCTTCGCGTGGTGGTCCACGATGATGCTTGCCATTTGCACAAGTACGGGGCTCGTCGCGCCCAGGACGGAAACTCAAAGGGGATGACAAAGCCACGAAATTCTTTGGGCAGTGAGAGCTATAAGCACCGTGCTAGTGTTCTGTTGTTTCTTGCGTGAATGCGTTTCACGTTTTATATTGCCCATGCGCAGGATTCAGAAGCTGCTGCCCAGATAGCCCCGCCAGAGATGAAGTACGTGTGCGACAAGTTCCACATGGCTGGCCATACCGATGCTTGGTGTAAAGAGACGTGCGACCCAGCCTTGCCTGCAAACGCTTCTCTTCTTCAAGGCATTCGGACTTCGGTCTGTGAATTCACTTTTACCTGGTTGAGCAAGTACAAACACCAAACCAAGCACATGAACAAGCACGGCTTCCAATTCTTCTTGCTCGATATGGCGTGGAGCCACAATGAAATTATACTCCAAGGAGGCTACAGACCAGAGGAGGTCGCCGGCTCTGCGGCATTGGAAGGGACCGACTGACAGTCTAAAGTTAAGATTTAGGATTTCAAGCGCGGCCTGTGCCTTATAGACTGGATCGAAGCTGTGGAATGGAAAATTCATGGTGTGTCGTACCCGCTCATTGCATCGACCTGTTGCTTCAAACGGCTACATATCACGCGGTACATGACTCTGTCAGTGCGCATGTGCAGATGCCTCGCTTTGAAACCAAACTGTTTTGCGTAGCTTCGACTAAGTCTGACTAAAGTGTTCCAACAAAGCCTTGCATGATGGCCGTGACAGCCGCGTCTGCTCTGAGCTCGGTGGCGCGGCCAAGCCATGTCGTCAGTTCTGGGGCCCTTGTCTGGAGCCCACGAAGACAGACAGTACATCCCTGCCATGAATTTGATGTGGGATGAAGTGGACAAGTGCTTCGACCCAAGCTACATCCTTGGAGAAGCTGGGCACCGCTTCTGCCAAACATACGCTGTTAGGGCAGCCCACGCAGAATTTCCTTACGCCCTCCACTGCTTGTCGCTGATGTGTGCTCTTGTGAACGGTGCCAAAGTGGCTGTCTTTGCTACCTCGCCATCGCCTTTGACGTTGGTTGCAATTAATGTCAACTACGCCCAGACGAGAAAATCATCCTTGACAGGACACGCAGAGGCTTGTGGGCAGGAGTTGGACGCAGTCATCTTGACGAACGCGGAGTCCAAGCTGGCGACATATTGCGTGGAAGAAGGCGGCGCTCCTGCGCCAGTGCAGCACAGGTGTGAGCGGGCTGTTGAAACAGGGGGCTGGGAAGTTTTAGGTGTTGAATTCTAACCAAAAAGGAGCCCGCCATTTGTGCCAGGTTGAAGCCGAAGCTATTCTCCGCAATGGGTTGCCAGCGCAACACCTGAGGAGTGGTTCCATCGATGCTCGGGCGATTGGAACCAGGTCCGAAATGCTGACAAGTTGCCCGGAGACTGGTCTGGCCGATGCTGGTTTGGCTTGCTGGGGAATTTTGATGAGGCCTACGACTTCCTGCTCAGCTTGGGTCTCTTGTCCGATGGGCCTGCATCCAAGGAGAAAGCCAAGGCAAGGGTGAACCCGTACCAGAGTGCCTTCAACAAGCTCTTGCAGTTTGGAACCAGCGCTCGCGCCACGAAAACGAATGGGAGCTATGGAGAGAAGCTTGCTAGAACCGTTAGCGTGGGGATCACTTGCAATATGCACCCTGCGCAATACATCCCTATGGAAAGAGGTGAGGTTGGTTGCCACGCAGCTTCCACCAAAGAACGGTTTGTCATCTCCACTGGCCGCCCTCTGCAGCCGCATGAAGACATGCCGGCAGATTTCTGTTGCCCTCCAGGACAGGTGTTCTGCCCGATGGGTGTTGTGTTAAAGCGTTTTAGATTCTGTAAAATCTGCTCACATTCTTTGCTGGATTTGCTTTGCGCAGGAGTTTCCCGGCGCCGATGGGTTCCTCTCACAGCCGAAATTGCGGAACTGCTGGGCGTAGCCAACGAGGCTGCTTCGCCAGATGCTGCTGCTCAGGAGTGGAAAGACGTTGGCCTTGAAGATGAAAAAGCAGTGCAGCTCACCCAGAATGCAGCGGGCGACTATGTCCCATCAGAGGAGTGAGCCGTTGTGGAGATATACAACAGTCGCTAAGGAAGTGTGAAAAGAGCTCATCCGCAGGTGTTTGGTTGTTCAGGTGCAGGCAGCCAAGTGGGTCCTGCAGAACCTGCGTGAAACCAATCCACCCGTAGGTACTCCACCCGCCGAGCCCTTCCCAGAATTTGGTCATGACAATCTAGATCCGAACTTGTCTCCCTTAATTGCAGACCTGTCAGCCACAACAGCAGCGTAGGCAGACCTTGCGCCTACACTGTGGTGCAAGACTGGTGGCCAGGGATGGGGGGCGTTGAAGTTTGGAAAAAGCAGGGTGTACGGTGTACATCAGAGATTCTGGTGGGCATTCCAAAGCATGATCACTTCAGTTCAATGAGGGTGACTTCTGTGACTGATTTTCGGTTTCAAGCCCCAGGTATAGGTGAGGCGCTTCCGTTCCGCCGCATCACCCTTGCAGGGCAGGCCCAACGAGGTTGATTGTCAGACGCTGCCTAACGTTGCTGTCTGAAGAACAAAAAAATCTTTCCATGTCCAGTTTATAGACCACCGGAACCGCAGACCGGACCACTGGACGAGCGCATCCATGAGAGGAGGGGAGCAGCGGACCGCGGACCAGCGGACCAGCGGACCAGCGGACCAGCGGACCGGCGGACCAGCGGACC